TCGCAATTCCCTATTAGTCTAGGGCCCTTGGTCGGGTCGACCTGAAACGATCTCGCAAACTTCGATCGACGAAGTTTGACGGCCGAGTCCGTAACTTCAAATACGTTCAATATTTCCGAATACGCGCGACCTTTCCCGGCACGTCACGCCACGCTACCGGGAAACTTACACACACATGATTTGGATTAGACAAATTCACTTCCGATCGATTTTTTAATTCACACTAAATAATCGTATCTTCTAACACGATACATCAGCTAAAAGCGATGTTTAAATTGGAAGTAGAAGTAGAGTACCCATGTATCTAAATGAGAGGCTAGAGTAGTCACGTGAATTTTCTAACAATTGTCGGTAAATTTTTTATATGTTTTACTGATAACGGCGAGAATCAATTTATGCCATTCGATTCTACATCTTTATTTCTCGGAGAATCTAAACAAAATTTAATTAAAAAAATGATCGCAATTTAGCCCCTTGATGTAGCGTTGTCATAATGAATTATGGAGACTTCCTTTGTGCACAGGAATCTTAATTATCTGGAGCTACGAATTAGAAAATCAAGGAATTGTCTTTCGAACGCGAGGAGTTAATTACCACAGGGAAATCTCATCGCGATCGATGCACAACATTTCGGTGCCGATTAATTGGCAGCCGTTCGGTCGACGCCCAGTGACCTAGTATTCTTAACCGACGACGAGGATGAAAATGCAGCGGATTTGTAGGCCATGGACGGTAGAACGAACGCGCACGGTGCAATTAACGCTTAGAGATTGAAGTACCGAAATGAAAGCGAACAGGAAGAGGCGTCGACTCGGTGGCGTTGCGCGGCCGTCCGCGAAACGCGCTTAAAGCGCTTTGTGCGACGGCTTAGGAGCCGAAAGGTCGCTTGTTAAAAAGTGCAATTACGATTGTCGTGTGGGCACGCGCGCCAGGTATCGCGTGTACGTCGCCCGGAACACGACTTTTCACCCCGAGGTTGTTGAAGTGCCCGGAAACCCGATATCGTCTCGGTGACTCGCGTTTTGTACGTTCTCATGGATATCCTCGTCGACGCGTACGATTATTCCGCTTCGTTCGCGAAAATCGCGATCTAAAGAAACGTGATGAAGCGATCGACGTGTACTACTTTTCTATTTGTTATGAAATTACCAGAAATTGATCATTATAAATATCGAAAATACGATCAAGTTTTTTTTTTAACAGGTTCCGTCACGTTTTCAATCATCCATGCATATACAATACATACCAACAGCTTCTATTTATATAATGCTATTTTGGAGGAAAAAATTGAGGTTTGTTTTAAGAGTATCTAATTCTGTACGGCTCTATTTTTCAATAATAAAAATAGTATGACGTTAGTTGGAAACTGAGTGTAATATAATATTATTTAAAAATCTATATCACTCTAATTTGATATTGAATTAGAATAGAAGTTGGAAACGTATGGAATGTTTGCCGTGAAAGAATTGCATTGAACGCTAATTTAAAGTAGAATTAAGTTATACGAACTTATTAAAAAGCATCATAATGTAAGAACTTTCTAACTAGAATCGTATACAATTATTTTTTAGATATTAATCTAGGAAATATATCTCTATAATAGTATTATACGAATAGGAGCCGTTGATGTGTATATACACATTCTGTTATTTTATGTATACGACCATGTCGTTTTGTTTCTCAAGCTTGAATTGTTCGGTCGAAAATTATTCATCATGTTTTATCTCATATTCCACTGCTATGAATCAAAACAAAGGTAAAATGATGTGGTGTATGTCAACAAGGTTTATAGTAAAGAGATTACAATTTAGTCTACATAATTTATTGCAACTTCATTTACCCGTATAATAATTGAAATATTGACTGATTTTGTCCAATCAGTTTATATTTGAGGTACAAGTGTGCTTAAAATAGTGGGGTCGTATTATTATAGAGATTAAAACAAAACAATTATAATCAGAATAATTAATGAAAATCATTATACCATTTAGTACAATGAAGTTATTAATTGATTTACGAACGTGTACTTGTACTAATGATTATTTGGACGAAACATAATATTCTGCAAGAATTAGTATTTAAAGAAAACGATTTTTCATTTGCATCAAACTCATAGTTCCGAAATCAAAATTATATAAAGGGGTTTGGCTGCTGGTAGGAAAAATTTTAAAGAGGAATTCTAGAAGCTAAAATGAGGCAAAAAAAATTGCACTTGCAGTCCTCAGGCGTAACGTGTGTTTAAAGCTTTAAATGCAAACATATCTTCCAGCGGTTACCGTTTTACTAAGCACGATCCACTGCTGTTTAGAGAACCGCCACCATGCAGCCAGTGGTCCTCAAAGTAAAACGTTTCCAACGTAACGGTAACCATTGTGAAGTGTATTAGCATTTAGATTGGTAGACGAACGTTCTATCTGAGAAACAGTATCGATATGAGCTTATAACTAAAAAACTTTTGACGTAATTCTTTATTATTGAATTTTGCCCTATTTTTGCTTTTAGAATCACTCCTTAAAATTTTTCTCACCAACAGCCGACCACCTGTACATGTATAAAGCAGGCGGTGTAATCTGAATCATTACTTTTTCGCAATGGTTGATGCTCGAGATTGCAATCACCCACTTAATTTTGAAGGGATAGGAAAGCAAATTGGTTCCGAGCGTTACTGATCTATTTAACTTCGAAGGATCAATCAACGGAATAGTTTCCTCACTGTCTGATGTCTTGTACGTAACGAATTTAAATCACAAGATTCGATTTTCGTTTAAATAGTGAATCTTGAAAAACTGTGAATATAAAGTACAAACATTGTTGATCCGATAATTATCGATTCGTTCATGTTTGGATGCCGTTTATAACGTTTTCCACGCGGAGGACGTTTAATAAGTGGGCAACGAGCCATGGCTGGTTCAACCCGGGGCGATCTCGTTCCGATTTTCCATCTCCTCCCATCCTCTTTCTCTCATTGTCCATTTCATTTTCTCTCTGTCCGTCCCTTCAATCCTCTTGGGCTTTCCTGTCGGACGGGGACGAATGTAACGCGGTCCAACGTGACGTTAATTCGTTACTAGTGCAAGACGTATGATCGTCCGATAATGGCCCGGGCCTCTCCCCCGTGTTCGCCGGTATTCCGCGGCTATCGACGACCTAAATTGCATGCGCGAGACACGAGACGCGGCTCGAATCATCGATATTGACTGCTGTCGGAGGAAGCGCGTTAATTGCACTTCAGACGTTACCTGCCGAACGATGGATAATTGCTGCGTAAGTTTCGTGCCGCACCGCCATTTTCGACATTTCTGATTGGAACTTAGTTCTCGTTGAAAAAAATCGTTCCCAGAACGAACAGATGGAAGTACTTATTCAACGCCAATTACTTACTGATGGTTGCCGAACTGAGTCATTAATCATTGAACGGAATGTTCATCAATTTTACGATTCTTACCGTAAAATATTTACTATTTATCTACATGTTTCGTTACAAATATATACTAACGAAAATAATAATGTACAAATGTAATAGGTTGAATTTTTTCTTAATATATTTCTTTAAACATTGTCCATGCGAGAAATTTTCTAAGAAAATGCTTTTATTCACGCTCGCCCTTCCTGTACCGACGATTGTACATCAAAGGTCTTACGAGCTTTAAAAGAACGTATACGTTAGCAGACACCGAGACACCCTATTTGAAAGTGAAGATTTCACGACGGCAAAGAAGTCGCAAGAACACTCGAAGGCTTCCTTCTCCTACTTCAAACAGATATTTGCATAGAACCATGAAAAGTACTGAGAGAAGCAGGTGAATGAAGCCCTGGAGGTGGACTCTTCGGCTTGGAAGTTGAACGGGGAATTGCGTTAATTAATTTACCGAACGTCTTGCGAAGACGAGAAAGGAAGGTGAATGGCACGGAGGAGGGCGCGGTTCCACAACGATCTCCTCCTCTCCTCACCGTAGCATCCGTTCATTGTTACCCTTCCACCTCCTCTGAACACTATTGGGTGCTTATCTCCGACCTAAATTGCATCCCGCCGGATATATAGGACCGGTCATCGACATTGACTGACGTTCGGTCGCGGAAATACCTCAATAATTATATGGGTGGCGTCGATTAGAATTCCCACGGAACGGTTTAAACACGACTGCCTCGTTATTTCTATAAAACAAGTTGAAGAAGTTACTTGAACTTTCGTCATCTTATGCTAAAAGTGGATGATGTATTGAGTACAACTTGTGCAGAATCCATATGATTAAGTACTATTCCACGTCGCTTGTATTAAAAATAGTCCGACGTGAATATTTCATTATTCTCTTTTTAATTCTGTACTATAGACATTCTATTTTTAACAATTTTTCACTTCGATGCCGCCTTTTCTTCATTTGCCGTGGCGTAATGAGACGCCGGGAAGAATAACAGGAAGCAATCGCTGCGTTCGATTAGACCGCGGTCGGGTTTGATTAAGACTTCGAACAATGATACGCGGCAACGCGGGATTCGCGAATTTCAATTGCCGTGGAAATTCGTCCGACGGAATTCAGCCCGTCCCGTCGTTTTCCCGAGATGTAGAGGTAGAAGTTTCCCGACCGATCGATCGCGAAAGAGGTGGTCAGAATAGGTGAAGGGTGGGAGCGAGGGGTGGCCCGTTGAATCTAATAGATAGGTAATTAGCGGATAATGAAGTAGCTTCCTGGCGGGTGAAAAAATGGCCGATCGCCAAGATGGATCCCTTAATGATCGATCAGAGCTTTGTTTCACGGGAGTCGCCGGGAGAAAAGAAACTTATTACGCTTATTAAGCCGAGTTGTCGTTAACGGAGGAAGAACGGGTTTGGCAAGTAGACCCGTGCGAGACCCGCAATCGCCACGGTCGATCGTCGACAACCGCTCGCTGCGAAAGAAACGTCTTCGGTCTAGATTAATTAGATGAATAAGATAATTCCCTTTTTCAAACTGATGGACGAGAAACCGACCAACTAACGTTTCACTGCTTTTCTTTTCCAGGTGCGGAAGATGTGTTCAGGTTTACGGGAAACGAGACGCACACAGACTACTTTCGGCTGGTGCTACGGGAAGGGAACTATCTTCTGGTCGGCGGAAGGTAAATAGAGGATTCATTTGGAGCGAGTGCTTTAATTAAAGGACCGGTTCTTCTTCGAGTTCTTTACTACCGGTTCGAAGGGTCCGGTGATCGCGGGCGAAGCCTCCTCTCGATCTCTACGTGTGCGGACTACTTTCTCATCCGAGACGCAGAGGAGAGAACTCTCACGGATTTTCCTCGAGCTTCGCCATTTTCTCTGCGTCTTTCCTCAACTCTTCCCCACCAGCTTCGTCCTCCCCTCTTTCAAGATGAATTCCGCGCCGCGAAACGCTGTTCTTCTCCTGTTAATGAGATCGTCGAACTTTATTTAAAAACTTCTTTCCACACTTTATTTTATCCGAAGCGAGGCTCGAATCCGAGCGCGGGAGTCGAGGCAAATCTTTAAAAAATACTTCTTCCCTTCGTCGGGATTGAAAAGGAGACGAGTAATTAAAACACGATATACATTAGCTACCGACCACGAAATCTGTAGCTCGAATATTGAGAAACGCGTCTCCTTACCTTATTATATATTCAGGTCAACCAGACAAGACCCCGTCCCATGAATTTCCCGTTTTCTTTCCATTTATGAATTACCACCTTCTGTTGACTAATTCAAATATAAAAACATGCTTAGGACTGATTTTAAAACACCTTCGAAAGCAAGTTATGTATTCATAAGAAATTTAAATGCGCTAACCAAGTGCAAAAGAAGTTACGTGCAACGTTCACTGCATTTAAGGGCGAGAGATGTTTCTGTTAAGACTCCGTTGCTTTGATCGCGTTTACGAGATTACGAGATTTAGTGCAAGTATCTGGGGACAGATCGCAAATCAATATCACTAATCGGTAACCTATCCAAATGGGATGGTGCTGATAATTGGGTCACACGAATCACGCTAATTGTTCGATATCGATTTTCCGGTACGCCGGGTTCGCGTTTTACCCCGGCATCGTCGCCTTGCCTCGACTGTTTCACCGCAAAAGTATGTGGTTTTACTTCCGGATCGGTTAAATCACGAGTCGAACTGAATGGAGAAAAAATTTGCAGCTCGAGACCTCTCGGAATAGTAATCTCGTGTGCCGGGCGCGCCATAAATCTCGGACCGGTTTGTAATAAACGGATCGGGATGCGGTGCTCGAATCCCTCTGTGGTTCTTTCCGAGATCGACTTTCTTTTTTTTTTTTGCGCCCGGTCGATCCCAACGGCGATTGGACCGCGACTGTATTTCCCCGGGAAAAGCGTTCGGGCGCGATAAGCAGACAAAGTAAAAGGAAACGCGAAAGGTGGTCTCGGTAGCGCAGTGATTAATGCGGAATCGGGATCCTTCTTTGGATAGAAAAAAGTTGCGAATCGCGAAATAGCCGGCCGGGGTCTCGGGTAAAGAGAAGATTCACTGGTTTCGACGAAAAGGATCCGGGATTCGAAATCCGAGCTTCTCGATTTCTCTTCATGAATTTCCGGCGAGATTCTTTTCTATGTGTCAACACAATGTTCCAACTGATTTCATTACTCATTTATTCATCCTTATTCTTATCACGTTATTAATCAATTAATTCATGCTGTCCCTTCCACTCGCGTATTCCATGCTGTTATATACGGGAAAATAATTAATTTTCTTTTCTACTTTGTAACTTGCTAATTTAAGATTGCGATGATGTTAACATTTTTGACATTGTTTCATTTAAATTAACAAGTCTATCAGTTGCGATTTGCTTAATAGAAATACAATTCTTGCCGTTAAACTTTCTCCAATTAACTACAGAATTAATCAACTGATTTATCAACGGAATGTATGTGTATTTCTTTCAGAAATCTCGTGCACAATCTGAGCCTGACTGACTTGACTGAGCAGCAGAGGCTGACTTGGTACTCCACGGACAGCGACGTGAAAATGTGCCTGGTTAAGGGCACGCCCGAGGAGAACTGCCAGAACTACATTCGTATCCTCGTGAAAACGGACGCGAGCACGTTGCTGGTGTGCGCGACGAACGCGTTTAAGCCAATGTGCCGGGACTACGCGGTTCACGCCGGCAATTACACGATTCTGAAGGAGAAAAGCGGACAGGCAATGTGTCCGTACGACCCCAGGCACAACAGCACTTTCGTTTACGTGGACGCAGAACTTTACACCGGCACCGTGGCCGATTTCGCCGGAATGGATCCGATAATCTACAGAGAGCCGCTGCAAACCGAGCAGTACGACTCCAAAAGCTTGAACGGTGAGTCAAATTCTGGTATTCTTGTGCGGAACAAATAAAGGATTGGTAGGTAAAAAGAAATTACTCTTGTCAATTGTAACTATTTTGAAAGAAAAGAGCAGAACAATGTTTTCTCATGGATAAACCAACCAGGCACGTATTTAAGTAAATTAAGGTGCAGATTAGATTGGATAATCTATTACTTTTGACAAGGGTTATTTCCAATACGGGTCCTTCAATTGAGTGATTGAACATCGCGGTCATCAAGAATTCAAGTAATTAATCATATTGTTATTTATTATTTTTTATTCTGATTTTTTTTCACATCTCTATTTTCTGTTAGAAAGTTCATTCCTAACTTTTCCCATAATAAGAAACGAGAAATAACACAAGCTGACTTAAATTACAACACTTCTTCAGTTGTTAATTAATTAGCGAAGACAACTACGACATTTATTCGCATCGTGCATGTATGCTTTTGTATTACTTTAATAGATTGCTTTAATGAAATTCTAAACAGATACTTTCAATATTTATAAAAAAATGAGTCACGATTAAAAGCCGTTTGCCAGGATACCCCATTGACCGCGTTAGGGGTGGAAGCAATAATGAAGGGCTCGAGATGATGAATCGGTGGACATTACCATGCGATTAAAAATTAAAATATGAGAACTAACGAAAACAGCTGAAGCGTTTCCGAGTAGAAGGGATCAGAGGCATCATGGGGTAGTAGAATTTATAGTTCGGTATGCCTAAACGATCCTGCCTGAGGGTAGGCGATGGATAAACTTTGCACTCTCCGCGGACGATGAAAACAATTATCTCGAACGAACCGATAGAAAGGGAGAGAGAGAGATTCTGATGGAAAGTAGTCGCTTAAACCGAAACACTAAAACGCAAAGTCCCCGATAACCCGGTGTTAAACGTCTTGGCACGCTTCTTTTCGGTCACGGATAATCCGGAAACCAGGCAGCGAGAACGGTTACGCTGCATTTATGCAAATGGTGTGTATCGTAAAAGCGCTCCAACTCCGCGATATTCGCCTCTGGGACGCGAAACTTCAGGCTGCGCAGTTCGATCCGGTATTTACAGGGTGTGTCGAGGGGAAACGGGTAGGTCGGATCGAGAGGCGAGCCACTCGACTTTGAAAATTCTGGCCCCGAGCCATTCGGCTCGAGAAAATTACTCAGAAACGCCGCGATCAGACCGTTGCGCCGCCGTTCCTCCCGGCTTTAATCCACACGGTGTAATTCCGAGATTAACCGTGCGTGTACCGTAGATTTCGCAGTCTCCGGGATTATTCCGCGGCCCTTTTCCACATATATGTTAGAGTGTAATGACAAAGCATAGTATGTAACGTTTTCGTCTCTCGATGAAATACGTTCCAACGTCGTCGCGTCGTCGGTGGAAATTTTAATCCGGATAAAAGACCAGTCCTGTCCAACAGTTCAACGACTCGTCCTTCGGTCTCGTTTCATTTGATGCCCAACAAGAAAAAACATTATGATAATCGAGACGTCGAATTTCAAACAAGATGCTTCCACACTGCCAAGACTTATATTTTCAATTCTTATGCTACAAATAAAAGATAAGTTGTAAATGAAATTTAGAAATCATAATTCCGTTTGCAACTCTCGTCAATATTGCTCGCATGTGAATTGTTTCCTCAAAATAGTTAATTTCTCAAGTGGTTTTGAGAAAAAAACGACGAATTAGTCGAAGTTGCGATCTCTCAGCGAATTTACCGGGAAGGTCGAATTTTTATTTGAGACGGTGACCGGTTTCGATGAAGGAATTATGTTTGAATACCGAAGAGAATCCCGAGAAACGCGAGTTTTTTTTATGAGAAGTTTTGGAAACCTTAGGCGAGAAGAGAAGATGAAATCGCCCCTTGAGGAGCAATGGAATGCGTGAATTGTCGATGCATCACCTTGTTCCACAGGCTTCGCTTAGAGTATTTTAATTGAACGGTGTACTGAAGCTAATCAAGTTTCCCCAACCGCTGGATAATATTGATTTTCCCTCGGTTCGTTGAAAATTCAATTCTCTCGTTTTCCACGACTCTCTCACTCCCTCTTCCCCTTTTTCTCTCCTTCTCTTTCCCTCTTCATTCCAAATTTCCATCTCTCGTCGCTGAGCGTTGAAAAGTTTTCGGTGAAAAAATGCAATGCTCAATGTATATAAAGTTTCTTCTTTTTTCCACTTTGTTATAATTACAGCGTCGTTATTACATTCACGGTTTAACAATTATCGAAAGCTTTTGCGTGTCATTAGTCACGAGTTTCCATGCACTTGGTGAACGTTCTACGATCATAGAAAAAAAACTTGATCTGCGTGAAATCGTTCAAGTGGCTTGATGATGTCGATACGTATAAATTTACAATCAGTAAGAGAACAATCAGCAAAGTTCTATGCGATATCCAATTGAGGAAATGGTTTGGAACGTCACAAAAATTCTCTTCTCGATATTTCATCTCGATAGGGATACGGTTAAATACGTCGGGGAAGAAGAAAAGACAGCTGGACGAAGTGGTGCGATAGATGGATCGGGCGTTGGGGCGTAAAGAGAGAGAACAAGCGGTAGAGAGGATGAGATGGGGATAGAGAAAACGACAGAAAATTTATGGGCCGGGTCGGTCGGATATACCTACGTGGCGCGCGAGATTAATATTACTTTATGAATCCTAAGAAGCTTATGAAAACCCTGTCAAGTTAATAAATCGATAAAGTTTTCCCACTTTATCGGGCGTTTGTGTGCGTCGCACCCGCACTCGCAGCGAACACAGGAAAAGGGTGGGTCTGTATGGGAGACGAGCAGAGAGAAAAATTGAGAGACAGGAAGGGAGAAAACGCTTCGCTTCAACGCGTACTACCGTTCGAATAACCGACGAAATAAAACAGTATATTACATTCGTGGTCGGCTTGTTGACGCGTCCCAAACCTCGGGAAAAATGTCACGTTTCAAAAGTAAAATTGATTTTCACGATCTATCCTTCAACACGGAAATGCAGCATTTTCATACATAATGCAAGCATATTCGTCTTATTGTAATTTATCCATAAAAAATTTACGTTGCATTATAACAAATTGTTTTATTCGATTCAACATTGACATGATCTTGGAACATGTAATTCCAAATCTGAGTCTCACGTATTATTATACGTGTGTCGATTCATATTTCTCTTGGCATTTAATAATATTTCATTTTATCTAAAGTAAAGTATCTAAAAATATTCAAACATCAAATTATCCTAGAAGAAATTGTTAGATTCCCATTAATTGGAAATGGCAGAATGAAATTCGACACAGTTTTCGAAATTGTCATTAATTTAAATAAAATTCTATGAAACAACACAATTACTTTAACTTACGTCATGTGAATTTGTGTTTTATAAAAATCCATTGAAATATGAATGGGAGATTTGTCGACGGGTAATAATTTTTTCAAGAAAAGTCGATGCAACCACTCTAAAAACAATGGGGGATTATCCCTTCGAACAGCCTTCCGAACGATTTTTCGAGACCGGCCAAATCGCTTTTCGTTTTAACGGGAGCCGTCTTTATTTTCCGGGCGAGCAGGCGTTATCTGTTTAGTATTTTATTGCGGCTCGTCCATTGTGCCAACCAAGCCCAGTTATCACGTTCGTTTTATTTATAAGAGAAGTTTACGAGCGACGTTTTACGATCTCGGTCGTTGCGCATAATCGCAATGATAATAGTCGTTGTAATGCATGCGCATTCTAATTGCAGCGCCGAACTTCGTCAGTTCCATGGCCCAGGGAGACTTCGTCTACTTCTTCTTCCGTGAAACGGCCGTGGAATATATCAATTGCGGCAAGGTAAGGGATCAATTTAATCTCCTGACTCTTTAATCGAATCGGTTGTAGATTTCATTTTCGTTCCCTTTCAATCAATCTTAATCTAATACGTTGAACGTAGTAATGGAGACTGACAAAAAGAAAAATATTCAGAGAACTGAATCAAATGTTCTTCAATCTTCAATTCTTAACATTATCTTATTTCTTTTTCATGATTATTATTACATCCGATGATTTGAAAAGTACAAAGGATGCGATTTCCAATTGCTATAAAAGATTTTCTATACGTGTTCATATTTGATTTATAATTAATTACAATCTTGCGATGCTAATGGCGAAACAAGTTCGTTTCACTTATTGTTAGCTCATTTCACTTTTTCTTTGCAGACCGTTTATTCTCGCGTGGCGAGAGTCTGTAAATACGATCGGGGTGGTCCTCATCGGTATCGCAATAGGTGGACCTCGTTCCTAAAGTCCCGTCTTAATTGCTCTGTCTCCGGAGACTTTCCTTTTTACTTCAACGAGATACGTAAGTAGCAACTATCCGGCACAGTGATTCAAGCAGGGATCCCCGCCGGGTTCTCTTGGAGAATTCTTCGATCGCGCTGAAAGAATTTTCACGATCGTAGAGAACCACGTATAACGGAGAAATGGACATTGCGCAGCGTCATTGATTTTAAATTGGCGGCGTTTGCTCGTTCGTGAAATAAATTTCCCGGAGGGGATCCCGCGCTCGTAAACGTCCGCGTGCACAAAGAGGCCCGAAATCACTGGGGCGATCGTTATTTGCAGAATCAACGACGGAACTGATATCGGGCCAGTACGGCAATAAGTCGGCCCAGTTGATATACGGCACGTTCACGACACCGGTGAACAGCATCAGCGGTTCGGCCGTGTGCGCGTTCTCCTTGCAAGATATCACGGACGCCTTCAAAGGTAACTTCAAGGAGCAGAGCGCCATCAACTCGAACTGGTTGCCGGTCCAAAGTGCAAAAGTTCCCGATCCGAGACCCGGCCAGTGCGTCAACGATTCCAGATCGTTACCGGATCTGACTCTCAATTTCATTCACACGCACTCGCTGATGGATGAGCTCGTGCCAAGCTTCTTCGGTCAGCCCATTGTAATTCGCACCAGTTTTCAGTAAGTTGTGTTGTTACTACCAGTAATTGACTATAGTATTTAATTGTGTAACAAAAACTTTTCTAAAGGTTTCCCGTTTAAATATAATGATTATGCTAATAAGAGCAGTCAAACATTTATCGTTAAAATATCCATATTTCTAATTTTCTAATACTCATAATTATGGTACATTCTTTCATCAGAGAAAAGAAAATGCTATTCAACACCATCTGTTTGCATTGTACAGTTACAGATTCACGCAAATCGCCGTGGATCCTCAAGTAAAGACCCCCGGTGGCAAAACTTACGACGTACTGTTCATCGGTACCGACAACGGGAAGGTGATCAAAGCGGTGAACGCTGAATCGGCTGACACTCACTTGAAGGTGAGCCCTGTGGTGATCGAAGAGATCCAGGCGTTCCCACCTACGGTTCCTGTTCGCGGGATCAAGGTCGTTAGAGCTTCTCAAGCTGGAGATGGCTTGGAAGATGGTAGACTGGTCGTGGTCGCCGATAGCCAGGTTCAGGCTCTGAGATTGCACCGTTGCTACAGCGACAGAATCCTGTCCTGTGTGGAGTGTGTGGCTCTTCAGGATCCTTACTGCGCTTGGGACAAGGTCGAGGGCAAGTGTCGTGCCCTTGTGGGACCCGCTGCGACCGACGCTAGCAGATTCCTTCAAAGTGTCGCCATTGGTCTGCACGCATCCTGTCCACCGAGCAAAAGTTTGAATAAAGATGCGGGTAGCGTCGGAGCTATCTCCGCGAATCAGAACAAATTTCCTTCAGACTCGATGATACCCAACAAAGAAGGCCAGGGTGGGGAAATAATCAATATTATGCAGAACGAGGAACAGGACAATTCGGGTAGATACACGACAATGATCGTTTTGTTCAATTATAATTTAACCGTAACCGATAATTAACTTCACACGATTCGACTGACTTAGGTCCAGAAGTATCAGCCGCAGATTCACCACCGCCACAATACTCCGTAGAAACGCTAGTGATGGCCGTGGTCGCCGGCGCATTAGCAGCGCTGTTGGTTGGCTTCATTGCTGGTTACTTGTGCGGGAGGAAATGCAGAAAAGACGAAGACGATAATCTACCATACCCGGACACGGAATATGAGTATTTCGAGCAGCGCCAAAACGTGAACAGGTGAATATTAGTTTCAATAATATTCAGATACGCTCCATATTGTTTAAATAAAAGCCAATCTTAAGTCAATCTTCTTTGATAGATTTCTATTATAATTACGATTAAGTATTTTATTAGCGATTTATTAGATACAGAGTAATGGTTTTAAATTAACATTAAATGCTGATATTAGTCCCGAGTTATGACACTTAATAATCATACGGAATGTTTACTTTTATGATTACAGCAGGTTAGCACCAGAGCCGAAGCTATTGCCGCAGGAGGAAGTGACCTACGCGGAACCAGTGTTAGTTCCTCAACCACCCAAACTTCATTCGCCGAAGGGTACAATGCGGAAGCCACCGCCTACCCCAACGGAAACGTTGTTCCAATTTCCGGACGGCTATGGATTCCGCGGCCCCAAGGACAACTTCGGTACACTCCGGTCACACCAGGGCGACGCGTATCGTCGCAATGATGGGTTCGCGACCACCCGCAGCGTGAAGAAAGTTTATCTCTGAGAAACGAGCGAGGAGGGAGGCGGCCGTCACCGGAGCCTAGGACGGCCAGCACGAAACCGGCACAACGCGACTTCGGCGAGCAGAAGTAGTCGCGCTGTCACGTCCGGGGGACAATCGAATCGAGAGCTCGCTGGTCCGAGAGCGTTGGAATCGCCCTCGCCGCCTTCGAGTGTGTCGTCAAGTTCCCCGTCACCTCCCTCCTCGTCACCTTCGCCGACCCTTGTACCGATCGGGATGAGCGGCGGCTCACCGCCACCACCAACACCACCGTGCAGTTACATCTATCGGTCATAGTCGTCGTCGTCGTCGGCGGCGTCGGCATCGTCACCGCCGCCGTCGTACTTTGCATCCTGTTACGCAACGCCGGCAGCTGGGACGCCGTACTACAGTTCCGCCGCGCGTTCCGATCTCGTGTAGCGAGCGTGGCCGTGTTCCAGAATTCAGACACCGTACTCGGTGTACGATTTACCCACGTTCTGACTTCACCACCGATTTTTTTCGTTTCCCTCGGGTTACGGATCACCTGTCACCGAGTCGCAGTGCTACAAATCCTTTACGGGCTCTGATCCTGTCTAAAAAAAAACGCAGGCATGTCAAGAGTCGAATATCGTGATTTGATCTACGCGTGATTTCACCTCCTGAGTTTTCATCGCCAACGTCGGTGTCGTAATTTGCTTCTTGTTACACGACACCGGCAATATACGCGTGTCTAGAGTGTGCGGTAATTTCACTTCTAATTTTTCTCTTCGCTTTTAAGCCTTGATCATTTTATCAACCACCGGAATCGTTGATACTCTCGGGATCGATCGAGTCTACGAGGATTACCGAGTTGAAACTCTTGTCCGAACAATCATTGGTTAATTATATGAAACTAAAGCCCCAGTTGACGAACATTGGGTTCGTTAAACATGTGAGATCCTTAGAAATGACAGATTTCTATTGTGGAATTTGGCAAACGGACTCTCATGAATTGAAACTTAAGAACAAACATCGAGACGGATAGAATCGTTTGTTTTCCACGAAGAAAGATCGAGATAAGATCGGTGATCAGGCTCGATCGACGGGACACGCGCCACGTCTTAAGGATCGTTTACGCGACGTAGTGTTCTCCGCCCGGTTTTAGACGAATCGGTCAATAATAAAACGCACGCGCGTAGTATTACGACAAAAAACGGTTTCTCTTCTCGTGAAGTCAATTAAAAGAGACTATCGTCGACTTGCGATTTTTCTAATGTTATAATATTATAAACGCGAGTGATTGACAGTGCCATTATTGTTCTCGTAATGCTGACGCGCGCGTCTCCAAATTTAAGATGAGACATCATCTGATAGTTGCAACGTTACTTCTTTTCTGTTCTCGTGTTCCTCCCTCAATGAAAAGGGATTGACCTCGATAAAATTGAATAAGAAAAATGACAGGGAAAGGATAAAATGTATTATTGGATTCAGCAGTAACACGTGCCATAAACCCGACCGTTTCTCATAAAACGCGCGGAGATCGCCACGTAGCTTCCACGGCGGGTTGGGTTAATCGATGAGGACAGGTTCGTTACAATCAAGAGTTTCCCGTGACTGATTCCTCATTTTGTCGCACGTTTCGGAAACGCGCGTTTACACTAGTTGCACATATACGTAAAGCAGTGAAAAGTAAAGGAATTTATTGGAGAGCAAGCGTGTGTGTGAGATGAAAAAGAAAAAAAACAAGCAGGGAAGGAGACAGAGAGAAAGAGAGAGAGAGAGAGAGAGAGAGAGCGAAAGAGAGAAAGGAGGAGTAGCCGTGGGAGAAAGAGAGTGCATTGAGAAAAGCTTGTGTGTAAATAATACATATACATATATATAAGAAAAGAAACAAATAACATATACGAGGAAGTTTCTAAACTTCTATAAAGCGACAGAGATGGTGAAAATGGGGGAGAAACGAGAATATAAGTCCATCTAAAGAATTTGAACCCGATGATAAACGTAGATATCTATCTTAAAGTGCTTCTTATTTCAGTGTATAGAAGTAACGCGTATGTGATATGTACTATATTGGGAGGTGTTTTTTCTAGCGAAAAAGAGACGAAGGGTGGGGAAAGTAAGAGAAAGAGGGTAAAGAGAGATGGTACGGGAGAGCATGTAAAACTCTCCTTGATCAATTTTCAGACTATAGACAACGATGGACGCAGCAGCGAGCCTCGGCGATCGTTTGTTCACTAGAATTCATCTTGTTTCATTTTGTATCCGTCATCGCTTCCTGTGGAAATTCACGAACATTTGAAACAGATCACGGTTTCCACACCCTGTAAACTATTTCATTTACTATTTATTATAGTTCGCGTTTGTACTTCACTTTTCTATAAAAAGGAATCAGTGAACAATTGAGTCGAGGACTTCGCGAACCTTCGCTTTTTTGTTTGTTAATTTCTTGTTCTTGTTCTGACACGCACACGATTACACCGAGTACACTGGACAACGGACTCGCATGTTTGTTACATTTTCTTATGTCGAATCCACACCATGTAACAATGCTTTATACGAATTGTAATTGTATCTGTTATATGACAATGGTTTGCTATGTGGTGTAGATTGGATTTTATTGCTGTGCAACTAGATTTGAGTATTTACTTCGAATGTTTCATATACTTGTTGATAATAGTGGTCGATCACATAAATTCACTGTTCATAATTCATCACGCATTTGGTTTTATCATTCATCGCAGTTGATGCTCATTCGAAGAGTTACTCGAATGTAGTTTCACGTTTTTAGATTCGCATTGATCGGCCCTTTTTCGATTGAGAAACGAAGGCCCGTCCGACACGTTCTCAAATCCTATAAGAAAAAAACGTAAGACTGAAAAAAAATCCCCGAACGGACGGGCCCCACCATCCGTTCATCATCCTTAGATTACCGTTAGATCAGCATCGAACAAGGTTTCCTTTAACGACAGTACAAATTATCATGCGTTTCTTCTAGTTATATCTGGTTTCACGAGCAAGCGTGCGCTATTTCTTTTTCTCAATAGAAGACTCAAAGGCATGGTACCTGGCATGAGGTATTATTTGCATGTTGGGCAATCTTGTGAAAATTGTTGTGAGAGTAATTATTAAGAGCAGCAGCATTTTGATTAACTGGATAACAATTTTTTATATTTTCTAGATATTTTAGACAGTACACAGTGGAAGTTTATGAACGATCAGTAAACTTCCCCTTTGACTTAGTTTTTTTCTGTTTTTATTTATTTTGATTAATCAGAATCCTGCTGTTTACAAAAGAAAGGAATCCGTTCTGATATCCAGAAAGTATACAGGACGTTCTGCTCGTGAAACGGCAAGATTGACAAGAAAAGGGGACTCGATTCACACACATGTACATTTAGACATTGACATTGAACACTGACCTACACACATCAAGCGTACGGTATAGACGCGAAACGCGAATTGTTCGCGTGTTTCGAAGCTGCCATGTTAATTAATCAATCCGACACTTCTCGTCGTTGAAAATTATCTAATTGTAAAAAGAAACCTCCGGTAATTATATTATAGGTAGCGTATTTTTTAACAATTTGTTTTCACTTGGCTCGGAGTGGGTATGGACGCGTTTTCTAAGTTTGATACGACTTACCTTTGAAAGCGAGTTTTTTAAATCCGGTTAAGGTTCTACTAACGCCCCTTTTTATCTTTCACGCTTGTACGGAAGACTCAGGCACCATACCAAAGATAATTAACTTGTACACTTGTAGACATCATTTCGACGTCGCATCGCTGCGACGGTTACGGTTAGAGGCGCACAAAGTGGTATGAGGATTCGCACAAAATCGGACGATAAGGTTCACGTTTGAAGGCAACGCGCGGGCATAGCCTCGGATTGGGAAAGTTGTCCCTTTTATTTCTCCCTTCTTTTGTCTCTGCGTTTAAAATTAGTGACGTCAGACTCGTTTGATCGAGACTCTGGTTTAAAAAACTCATATAGTTGTAAGTAATCTTTTAGAGAGTGATAATAATGTATATAATATATAGAGTCAGGAGAGGAGAATCATTTTTAACTTATATGTTAACAATATTATTTTGCATCACGTCATCTATTATTTGCAAGATGGTAAAGACCTAATTGGTGATACTTCATTTATGCATATATTCACATTTTTACATTCATTTTGTACATATACGAAGTACACAGGCCATCGTAGAACACACGACACTTCTCTGCGAGTATGAAAGAAAATGAAATTGTAAATCCAAAGTTCCTCTTCCACTTTTTCCTCCAATCGCTATTAACAGAGTAAAGCACTGAGTGACTGTTGTGCGTAACACGCTATTGGTCCACCTTTTTCGTTAATAACTTTGTTAATAACGGATGAAGGAAAAAGCGGACGAGGAACTTTTCACTCAGAATTTCACCCTCAGAGGAAAGTCGTATATTCTGGGACACACTGTATAAAATATTTTCTTAATCACTTTAGAGAGACGAAAGAAGGGTCTGTCGAGTTTTTAAATTAATTATGTTGATCCGGCAACGAGAAGATACTTAAACCGAGATTCTTAGAAGATGATAAAGAGAATAAAAAAATAACGCACTTACAATGTTGGAATCAAGTAATGCATGAAAAAAGTTCAGAGATATTTTTCGAGAACAATGATATCGAGATATTAGCGTATTTTGAAAAACAATAAAAGAAGATTCGAAAGGGGAGAGAAATCACAATTCTATAATCTTAACGATGTTACTAATCGAAGTCGTTGATTACTTCTAATAAGAGTTAGATGGGACAAAAATGATGTGAGACTGAGACGTTGACGATATGATTCGTGTTCAGGGAAGTTCGTGTTGTTCAAGCCAATAAGGAACGGATTCCATCCAAGATAAAAATAAAAATTGATGAAGAAGAAAAAATTGCTTGTTGCATGGACGAATTTTCGTTTTTGGCTACGTTCATTTAATTTTTATAATGCAAAGATACAGGAAGAAACGCGAAGAATTGTGTTGTCGACACGATGATTTCATGCATTATTTCATTTCAATCGCTTAAAGTTCGAGCATATCCAGTAGCTTTTTTTGGAATAAAAACAAAATCAATATCTGTACACATTTTCTACACAAAGGAGAGTAAAAATTGTGAAAGGAAAGAAAGAAGGGAAGATTGAAGAAAAAGAGATTTCGGAAGTTGATAAAAAGAGAATGCGCGTGTGCTTAAGCGTGAATAAAGAAAAAAAGTTTAGCAAGTTATGTATTACGATTATAAATTGAGAATTAAAAAAAAGTTAGGTAGATATACCGGGGCGTTCTCAGTTGGTGGGGAAACGCTCCGATTTTAGATGATCGCAGCATGTATGAGACAAACAAAATAAAGAAAAATTAAGTTTGATGAAAGCTTAGACATAAGTAGAGGATTAGCGAACGGTATATAAATATAAATATAAATATAAATATAAATGAATATAAATATAAATAAAAAATATATATATATAGAACGCTTGAATCTTATATTAATATTATAACTTTTTATAAATATATTTTTCCGTCGAAGTCTAGCCTAGTTGGATACATAATAACACAGTTATTAAACGACTATTAATTTATCCGATCTGATTATATATATATATACATATATATATATCGAGGATCTAGAAATTAATTCGAACATTTTAGACATCATAGTTTTACAATTGGTAGGCGAAAATTGTATGAATTGTAATTGCCGACTTTTGAGAAGAGCGAGAGATGGTAAATAAGTGAGAAGACTTGTGTGGATATGAGAGATGGGGAAACTGGGTAGTGAAAGAGGTTGAGTAAATGAGTAAATTCGTGTGAATGTGAGAGATAGGGATCATTCGAATAATTCACGAGGAATAAAAATGAAAATATACATTAGTACCTAACGTTATGAGATTTAAACTACTACCTAGCGTTGAGCCACTCGCGAGAGGATCGTTCGATCGCTTCGTAATTATTCGTTGATCGACTTTTACTAAATGTGTTCGTTGAATCGTAAACGAACTTGTTGAAAAAAAAAAATTGTTAACGCCAAGATCGATCGAATTCTAAACAAAGCGAGTGAATCGCACTTCTCGTGCTTTGTAATTAATCGTAAATGAGAAACGAACAGTATGCGATTGAGACACATTGTAGAGAAATTAGCAAGAACGAAAGAGCGGATGAGAAAAAAATGCGGAGAAAGCGAATAATCATGTAATACACACACGCGCGCGTATACATACTCTACTAAAGTCTACTATATGTATACCGAGAATCATTCTTCGTTTCTTTTCTCTTCTTCGGTTTCCTCTTGGTTTTATCCAAAGAAACAGAGAGACAGAACGAAAGAAAGAAAGAGTGAGCGAGTGAGTGAGAAAGCTAAAGAGGAGAGAGTATAAGAACGAGAGCTCGAGCATCAATTGATGGCCCGAGTCCCCTTTCAAATACATAAAAATAATTAATTGTAATACGCGGCGCGAGTTCTCGTTCGCCTCGCGTACCAGAAACACTACACTACAGCAAGTAACGCTACTTAATAACTATTGATAACTACCAAGTAATAATCAATATTGTTAACTAAAGAAGAAAAAATGGGAGAAATAAAGAGAAACGCGGCCGCGAGATTTACCAGACAATTTTTAAAGGGTGGTAACAAGAATGAAACACTAAATAGTATTTATCAATGATAAAACTAACGAGAAACAAGTAATATGTATTTTGCTTCCTCCTAATACAGTGCCGTTTAACGCTATTTTTTACTTGTAAACTAAATAGATGAAGAGGGAAAATTTGGCCAAGGAGGATGCGACGTGTGCGGCATTTCGGGGGCGAGCGCGCGGCGTATCTTCTCTCAACAAATAATAATTATTATTCGCCAGGGAAACGGGGAGAATGAGAGAGCGAAAGGGAGTCGAGTTTCTATTTAGTCGGCTAACACGCATACTTTGTAAAAATAAAAAGTAGTATGCTCAAAAGCGTGACTCTGACGCATAAATTGTTGTTGTCCAGGTAAAACAGGAACGATTGATCGATATACTGGAACCAGCTCATTGTACTTCACTGCGATTCCTTGGGGTGTTTGTAAAGAAGAAAATAATTCATTTAATTGTAGACCTCCTTCGCTGCGAAACCCTCCGGGCTGTTGTTATATCGATTAATCGACCACCGCGGTTTCTTAAAGTCGGATTATCACACGAGAGTTTCTGCCCTTTACACCGCGTCTACTGTCAATTACAACATAATCAGCGGCATAATTTTCAGTCGTCTCTATCTATCGCTAATGTTTTTTCACATTATGATATATCGTCATCTGCGAGAAACTCTACTTCCCGATTTTTTAATGAAACGAAAGACGGACTACGAATCGTGACTGAAGGGACAGAAACATTGAAAATCGTCGAAGTATTTATAACGGAACGTGCCGGTTCTTGCACGAACTTATAATTAACGTAGACAAGGGGTTAAGAGTCACGATTTTGAGAATGAAACGACAGGTGCGCGTTTTCGATATAAACTGTCGCTCACAATCGTGTGATTCGCCATAATTTATTAGTGAGAGAATACATGCAGAACTTAATCGACGATAGACGGGAGAGAATGGGAACGCGTGAATGTGTGCAAGAGAAAATAGAAAATGAGAGAACAAAGAAAGTGTGGGAGGGAGAGAGAGAAGAAAAATGTTGAGTATGTGGAAAAAATTTTTGGTACAGATCTCGACGGCGAGAGAAATTCCATTTGTTCACTGAACACGCCGTAAGAATTCGTTTCACGAACATTAGAGCCGATTTTAAAAAGAATATAAGAATACCCGGGATAAGAATAATAATTACTAAATAATATTGATAATACTAATAATAACGATATTGCATTAATAACAGAAATACGTTATTGCCGATAATTATATTGTAAACGACACAAGAATGGTATTACATAATACTCTTTATAAACGCAGGCGGATGATATAACGCGGTGGAGTACTGAGCATTGTAAAGTGAATTATAAAAATAAGGATGAATGAAGACGAACGAACGGGAGGGAGTGATTGCGAGAGAGGAGAGATTGTCAAATGTGCGAAATGAACCGAGAAAATGAGAGAAGAAGGGGGAAGGAAGTACGATAAGTATTCTTTTTCGCAGTAGGCTGATGGTAGAGACACGGCACGTCTAATATTAACAAACAAAAAGTAAGAATAATTAAAAAAAACGTAAAGTTAAAAAAATATCATAACGTGAAGAAAAAAGGTAAAGTAGTGATTTACTATCGGTTGATACGTAGTGTGAATGCTGATATAGAAGAAGTATGCTGGCGGAGAGTGGTTTTGTGGATTCCGAGGCGGATGAATTCAGTGATGTCGTCCTTTTGTTTCAAAAATGATAGAACTCAAGCATAAGCATATTTTATTATTCATGAAATTCATTGAAAATGCAGTTAATAAAATAATTTTATCCGAGTGCTCTTACTGTACCACAAACTAGATTTTATCAGATCAAAAAATCTCATAATAACAAACGTTTAGTCACTTTAATTACGAATGTGTTTATATTTGAACATTAAGCTTTACATAATTTCGTACTTTTGCTATACGTACTTTTGCTGGTATATTTTCTCTTTAGTTTGAAATCTTTACTCACGTCTTTTAGAAAAGTGGAGTTACATCACTTTTGCAACAAAGGCTAGATTCGGTTCGCTTTCGTTACTTTTCCTCTCGTAAATAATAATTGCCTAATTGGCAGAAGCGTAATCGGTATAGAAAATCCCGAGGCGGCTCGATAGCAGTATCGTTCGACGATGCTGGTCTAGTTTTGAGGATGGATGATAGAATCGATAATAGCGAAACTCTCGAGACGTTCTTCTCGCTTGTCTTGAAAGGTGAAGAATGAAGGAACTCGTTCTCATTACCATATTGCGTCTGTTATGCCTGACACAGCTTGCTATTAAGGTAAGGGGAAGACAAGACTACCCGTTACGGAAATAAAGCTCGAGCTGCTCCGAAAGAAGTGGAAGTATAGAGGAAGAGAGCGAAAGTGAACCAGAGCGAAAGATTGAGATGATGAGATACACTATCGTCCAAAGGTGTATGATCGTGCCTCAATGAAATATTTGTTTCGGTCTGTAAATTTCACCTAAGCAAGATATACATGTGCTATAAAATTTCAAGAACTATACATATAAACGTCAGTTCCAAGTTTTTAATTGTATTTATGCAGATTCTGCGTAAGAATTCAATAATAAAGAAATACTTTATATTGGTCTGATAATAAGAAAAATTAGTGTTATTATAAGTAAGTAGAAACAAAATTGTTTAACATTATTTGGAAAGTGAAGGAGGTCGGGTCCGATACTTTTGGTCAACAGCGTATACGCGAAGGTAGAAAGAAAAACGAGAAGTCGTGAGAAAGCGAAGCGAGAGAAAGAGATAGCACGAATGAGAGAGAATGAGAGGGTGTTGAGGATTGGAGAAAATGAAGAGAAGCGATTGTAGATTCGGAAAGTCACTTAGCCAGCAGACAGCTGTTCATAGTGCCCTGTTATAGTGGGTTCCCTAGGCAGAGCGGCAGAGACACGATTAAAAAACGAGAAAAAAAACAGAGAGCGTGAAGGGGAATAGAATAAACTTGTGGGGGAGAAAAGAAATGTGACAGAAGAATGGGAAATGAGAATCGGATGAAACGTGGTCGAAATAATGTCTATTGTTTCGGACGGCCTTTCCTCTATTTAAAATCGATTATGTATCAGAGTAGATCCGTTAGAGTCTAGAGTAACGACTACCTAGATCAGACGTGATCTAGATCCCCTCTCCGTGTCGCAAATCATTCGATATTTGCTATGGGAACTTAGAGTCCGATGCAACTTTCCTTTCAACTTTGTTCAGGAAGGATGCAAGTTAGAAATCGTGAGATCCGATATTTATGCGTCGTCAGAGTCAATCCCGGATCCCGTGACAGAATGATAATCTGTAAACTCGTTTCATCAATCGAATAGCAATAACGATCAATTTCGTATAAACGAATATGATATTATTGACTTATACTACTGACGCTACTAAAGCATCTACTACTAGCTACTGCCGTCGCGTTCGGATTGACGAAGCTCGCAATTAGATTAATCGTTTCGATGATCGAACGATCTGTCACGGAACATCGTGGTATCAGTATACTAAATTAATCGAATTAATTACGAACGAAGAGGGGACTCAGATCGTCAATGACGTTTTCATGATTTAACAAAACAAAATCGTGAATTGTTTGGTGATTAATAATGAGGTACTCCGCTCTCTGCCCACGGGGCCCTGATCTATTTTTCAGAATACGCTATTGTGATTATTACTAATATAACAACATTTAAAAAAAGTAAACAAAAAAAACATTAAAATCACAAAAACACCTTGTACTATTGTTTATTATACGATTCTGACGATGATTATTTATAATGTTAATAATCTATATTAACGATAATTATTACTGCATTATACCATTATTATATTTAGTACTATTTAGAGAGTGAGGCTGGGATATATTAATGAATTAAGTACTAAGTAAACGGATTAAGTAATTCATTAGAATTTATATATAAATAATATAAATATTACTAAACACATACTCTATTCGCGTCGAACTGTGTTTATCAGTTTTTCTCTTCGTATACACGTTGATTTCCTATACATATACGAAATATATATATAAATATATAAATATATAAATATAAATATACATAAAAAAAAACAGAGAGCGTGAAGGGGAATAGAATAAACTTGTGGGGGAGAAAAGAAATGTGACAGAAGAATGGGAAATGAGAATCGGATGAAACGTGGTCGAAATAATGTCTATTGTTTCGGACGGCCTTTCCTCTATTTAAAATCGATTATGTATCAGAGTAGATCCGTTAGAGTCTAGAGTAACGACTACCTAGATCAGACGTGATCTAGATCCCCTCTCCGTGTCGCAAATCATTCGATATTTGCTATGGGAACTTAGAGTCCGATGCAACTTTCCTTTCAACTTTGTTCAGGAAGGATGCAAGTTAGAAATCGTGAGATCCGATATTTATGCGTCGTCAGAGTCAATCCCGGATCCCGTGACAGAATGATAATCTGTAAACTCGTTTCATCAATCGAATAGCAATAACGATCAATTTCGTATAAACGAATATGATATTATTGACTTATACTACTGACGCTACTAAAGCATCTACTACTAGCTACTGCCGTCGCGTTCGGATTGACGAAGCTCGCAATTAGATTAATCGTTTCGATGATCGAACGATCTGTCACGGAACATCGTGGTATCAGTATACTAAATTAATCGAATTAATTACGAACGAAGAGGGGACTCAGATCGTCAATGACGTTTTCATGATTTAACAAAACAAAATCGTGAATTGTTTGGTGATTAATAATGAGGTACTCCGCTCTCTGCCCACGGGGCCCTGATCTATTTTTCAGAATACGCTATTGTGATTATTACTAATATAACAACATTTAAAAAAAGTAAACAAAAAAAACATTAAAATCACAAAAACACCTTGTACTATTGTTTATTATACGATTCTGACGATGATTATTTATAATGTTAATAATCTATATTAACGATAATTATTACTGCATTATACCATTATTATATTTAGTACTATTTAGAGAGTGAGGCTGGGATATATTAATGAATTAAGTACTAAGTAAACGGATTAAGTAATTCATTAGAATTTATATATAAATAATATAAATATTACTAAACACATACTCTATTCGCGTCGAACTGTGTTTATCAGTTTTTCTCTTCGTATACACGTTGATTTCCTATACATATACGAAATATATATATAAATATATAAATATATAAATATAAATATACATAAAGAAGTATTTAATAATCACAGTACGACTGCCTCTGACTCGATCTTTATTCTTTTTTATTTCCGGGCGCTTGTTCAGTCGGCGTTACGAACGTTGTTTCGTTTCACACCATTTACATTCGACGACTACGTTATTTTATATATCGTAATAGACATAGACTGTACCACGAAATATTAAGTAAAAATAAATTTGATTAGGTAATACGTCATTTGTTGTCCTTTCAAACCAGTTCCCAAATCAACGATACCTAATATGTTTATATTGTAATAAAATCTTCAAGTGAATATATAATTTATTCATAATTGAGTTGACTTTTTATGTTTTTCATATAATTTAATTACATATACAACGTTTCTTTGTTATAATTAAAATAATTATAAATCTGTATTGTAAATTATGAACTGCTGCTAATAATAGCTCTCTGATGCAGGAAATCTTTCATTTAGAAAAATTCAAATCTATGAACGAGAATTCTACACATTATATTACATTATTTATCTTTCTCTGCAAGCAAAAGTATATCTACAAATTAGTTTTCCTATAAATGATTTATTTCAATATTTTGTAATGCATACTTTACGTTGTTCTTTTGCATAAAGTAATCTTCTGTATTTAAGGGAGAGGGCAAGGTATGTAAATCAAGTGAATTATTAACACACAGTTCTTATTTTTTATCTCCACCTTTATTTAATCGTAGCACATACTATTTCAAAGATTCATATAAGTACGTATGTAGATAAAAAAGTACAAATATTTACAAAATACTGTAAAAAAGAAATTGGATTACAAAAACGCCTAGAGATCTGAAACATTGTTTAAAAATTGATCTTGCTTTTCGCTGTTCGCTTACAATCTCTCGTCCTTTTTTTATGTTTATGACTAGACATTAGACATGATATATGTATAAGATATATCGCTTTCGTTAAAAATCACTGGCGCAGCGTTTAGACCCGCTCCTTGTGTCGCTTTCTTTTTAAAATCGTTTCCTTTTAAAATCCTACGAGATCATGCGATCTGCGTGTGACGAGAATTCGATTAATCGACGATCACGATCACAATGGAACGATTCAGCGTATGATATGAGCACATTTACGAGTTTCGTGAGGATTCGATTAATTATCTCTTACAACGATTACGAACTGCCAGGTATGTTCCTAATGTTATATTTTTATGTTACAAGAATATTTTCTTGGCATATATTGCGAACATTTAGGAAGCATCAGAATATTCAGGCCGGACCATTTGCAATCGCCCCGACGAACACTGCCTTTGTCGATCGCTTACGATTATCAATAATCTTTAGATTAAATATAATCTCATTAAACCATTTCATAGGCTTTCCCATATTTCCTGTACCAAACATTTTCTGCGGATTATCCAAGTCTCTCAGAAGAAAATTTCTCTTCCGAATCATTTCTTTTCACATCGTTAAGTATAAAATCGTGAATGATCGACGACGAATGTTCGACACGCTTTTACAAAATCATGATTCACACATAATAGATTCGCAGTAAAGGCGGCATGTACCTTCGATTTTAACGAGGGTGCATATTTAGGGGAATGGTCGTATTCTCTATAAGTATGAGTACCTGTAAACGTTACGGTTACGGAGATTACTCGTTGGCGGTCTGTATTTTCGGTAATACATCTAGATGCGTATATGATACAATACAATATAATTTATATGCGTATACGTGTGCAGAGCTGTGAGGATGAATTACTTTGAATACTGATCAATTATTCGCTCGCATTTCGGTACCTGAAGATTCAATAACCGATGAGAATTCTCCGGAATATATTTAATGATGTGACTCGTGTGTATAAAATTTTTCCAAGTCTTACTCGCCAAGCGGAATAATAAAAAGGGATGGTTTCGTTGTACGAATTTGTAACATGGACAATCGACGTACCTAGCCCTGAAGATGATTCATCTTTCGCTATTAATTGTCGAGTAGCTTAATAATTAAGAAATTACTCAATCTAATTTTCCTCAAATACAAAAGTATACTCTAAGCTAGAATCGCGATAAAAAAGTAATCCTTGCTTTCCGTTTCTCCTCTATTTTTTCAAGCATTTGCGATGGCATCATCGCCGAATGCAAGAATCTTTCGATAAACAATGAGAGCGTGTTGGCTCCTCGGAAAAACTGAAATGAAAAACTTGATGAATCTCGCGATTGTACTTAATGAACGAACTTACGCTTATACCCACGGTATGTACAAGGCCGTTTCTTTTAATCTTCTTCAAGTCGATTAATAATAACTCCTGCTTCTTTTCTTTTTTGCCTCGTGCGTCCACAAGGTGAACTATGCAATTACAATCGTTTGTATGATTGAAAACACAAGTGGATAAATATGTATAAAAGTAAATCTACGCATTCAGTAAATATTTGTAAAATGAATACAATAAACTAACTAAACACTAAATTTAGTAATGTAGAAGGCTGCAAAAGTATAAAAAGAGGTTCTGATTAGTTAGCATCAGTTTTATCCATTTATGTCTTCATTTATGCAACAACGTCAATCACATCGTTTACCCTGTGCACGCACACATATGCATATATATATAATATTTATATATATACGTATCAGACGCAAATGTACGCTATAAATAATTCTTAAGCCTTAAGTCTTAACGCAAATACGATGTTGAGACATGAATTATAGGCGGGGATACAAAAATCGGATCGTCTCGTTTTTTATTTTTAATGATTGATATGGTCGTGATACTTTCTTAACGATGCATTCACACTGTAGCTTGCGATTTCTGTCGTACTTTAAAGAACGACGACACAACGTATCCTAGGGTAAGTATGCATACTTCGATGTGCGATGATCGGATAATACCTATTCGTTTACACTGATACTGATTACTAGATATTGCGTTAGTCGTTATTATATCGTAGCGATGTGTACTGGATCGTTTACGTTTGTCCTTAATTATTTAATTCGAAGATGTTCAGACAGTCATTGGAGCGGAGCCTTCTGTTTATAAATAAATTATATATCCTTAACGACCTAATGGACGCGACAGGATACCGTGAATTGAATAATCATCGCGAGATCAAATAGATCAGTACTGTTTTTTCATTTAGTTCAGAACTCCATTTTAGAGATCAGCATTATATTGAAACATTTTTAAATAAAGATCCTGAGGACGAACTTCACGTACTGTACTTGAATTAAAATTTTCATTCTTATTCCTGTTTGCAGATGTATTTTGAGATTGCTTTCTCTAGTAATTACAATTAAGAACAAAATGATCAAAGTACCTTTGGCCAGTTCCAATTTTCATTACATTAATTCAATGCAAAAACTTTAAAAAGTGTTATACGCTACGTCAGCTAGCAAGCAGGAAAATACTGGTGTACGTACACCTGTTTCTTTCATACATTACTCTTAGTAAATTGAAGCACAATCTTGTTCTACCTTGTTGAAGATGAGAATGCTTCGACAGGCTCAAGTTCTTGCGATTACTATCCCGATCACGGTACCTTCAATTTAGAGCCTCGTGGCGTAAGTCGATCAATCTAGAGACAACTGTCGACGACAATTTCACCTATTTTCGAGACGACCTCGTCGAAGGTCGGCCTCTCTCGCGGGTCTTTGGCCCAACACTGAGCCTGAAGCTCCTGTAAAGCCGGCGGCGCAGCTTTGTGCGGCTTCCACACCAGCGTTTGAGCTTTCAACGCGGCTAATACGGATTCGTCGTTCATCTTAATGAACGGCAACTCGCCCTGATGGAACATCTCCCAAACTAGGCAGGAGAACGAGTAAACGTCGCTCTTGGTAGAGAACTCGTCCTCGTAAACGGCCTCGTAAGGCAACCATCTTAACGGGATCACCTGATTCCGATGTTTTGTGTACTCTTGTTGATACGGTTCTTTGGTCATGCAGGGCAGCGAGATCTTGATTGTCAGATTGCTCGCGATCAGGCAGTTCCGAGCAGCGATGTCCTTGTGTACCAAACGATTATCTGCGATGTGCTTCAATCCTTTCGCTGCCTGATTCGACAAGGATAGAATCTGGGCGACGGATAATTGCGGTGCGCGCGGCTGTTTCGTTTCGTGCGTAGGACTGGAGGTGTTATCCTTGCGTGAAGCGATTAGGAATTGTTTCAGATCGCCCCAATCGGTGAATTCGAGGATCATGTAATCCGGTTCCTCCTCGCGGCACAGACCAATCAGCTTCACCACGTTCTCGTGATTCAGTTTGTGAAGAAGATCCAAGTGGCGTTTAAATTCTTGTAAGGCGTTCTCATCCTTTGTGTTAATAAGGCTCTTGACCATCACTACTGTTTCCTTATCACCATCCGCTTGATATTTGGTAGCGTAGATCTCGCCGAATTCGCCTCGGCCCAACGGTTTCAGTTCCTTCAGGTTACTACGGGATACAGCGATCTTGTCATAATTCGATTTCGATTTCTTCGACTGATTGCTGCTCTGACTCTGAGCAGTGTCTGCGCCGTCGCTCTTGTTGTGCGAGTCACGGTTCTCCTTTTTCTTTCCGTGTGAGTTCATCTGTTGTTTGCTGTTCCCAGTCTCTTTCAGCTCGGTCTGTTCCTCCTGGACCTCCCCGTTCTCCAGTTTCTCTGCGCGATTTAAATTGTCGATTATTCGTCGGCCGCGATCGCAAAGCGTGCGGCGCGAAGTCTGAAACGCTTTCGTTGAGCGATCGGAGGAGATAGATACCTTCTGCCTGTTCTTGGAGGTACTGCTGTTTCCTACGACGACGTCGGTAACGACAGTACAGCATCAGACCCACTACCAACACCATGTACGCGGCAGCGGCGCTAAGAGTGATAATCACCGTCTTCGTCATCATCGAACCCTCATCCATTTCCAAATCCATGTCGAATCTATACGTATCGCCAGCTGGAAGTAAATTATACATCGTCTCTTTCTGTTCTATATTTCACACTTATATTAAATAACCAATGTACAAAATACTAAATACGAGCAAAACAGAAAGAACATGAAGCGAAAGAGTATCAGACCTTTTGATATGATTGCAAAGGAAAACGTAGAACATTATATTATCTTGTAAAAAATTCTTTATGCGATCGATAGAATGTTAATAAGGAAAACAACTTTTCCCAATACTTGATCTAAAACTTTTATGAGAAAAGGCTACGCACCTTTAACGTTCAGTTGAACTTCTTCTCTCTTCAAGCCGCCACTGTTGCCAGCTGTGCACCCGTACTTCCCTTCGTCGCTCAGATATACCTCTCTTATGTACAAACTTCCGTTGCCGAGCATCTCAAACCGGGAATTGTTCAAGTTGTTCATACGGGAATCCCTATCCCACTGAATGGTCGGCTTGGGATCACCCTCGGCTGCGCAGTGCAACATCACCGGATATCCTTCGATCGCTTCCGTCGGATTTTGCGGTTGAATAGTGAATTTCGGAGCGACTGGAAAAATTTTTTTGTAATATGTATCAACTTCTGTATGTTCGAAAATAAAAGCGGCATGAAAGTTGTTTAATGTGAAGAAATAACAAATTAGTTAAAATAAGAGACTTAGAACAGCTTATTCTGTAATATGATGTCCGTATACTGACTGTTCTTTTATTAAGCCGGTGTCTACTCTGGTTGATACTTACTGACTACGTCGATGTTGATCGTGTGATTGATCGATCCCTGGGCGTTGCTGGCTATGCACGTGTACCGGCCCTTGTCTTCTTCGAGCACACCATTGAAGTGTAGCGTACCATTGATATCTTGCACGTGCTTCGGGAATTCCTCACCCGCCCCTTCCTTGATCCACTTCACCGTCGGATTAGTGGCACCCTGAGACTTGCACGGTACTTTCGCCGTCGAGCCGAGCTCCAGCCGCTTGTCCACAGGCTGCGGCGAGAACTTGAGCTTTTCCTCAACCGTGAGCGTGGCCCGTTCCGAAAATATTGACGGGAACCCTTGCGTCGATATTTCGCAAGTGTAGCTGCCCTTGTCGGACAGGTCGGAGCTCTTCAAGTGCAGGGTCACGTTGCCGTGGTGATCGGTTATCCGGTGTCTCGTCGGCCCGCCGGTCTCTTTCAACGGTTCCCCGTCTTTTAACCAGCGTACATGGGTCACGGGCGGTTCCATGCCCGAATACGCGCACGTAAGCGTCACGGAATCGCCCTCCATCACGCTCAGACTCTCCGGCGAACTTATCAGCGTCGGCGGTGCTGAAAAGAAGGTGAAAAATGAACCGCGTGAAAGTGTAAACCGGTCTCATATGAAATGATACTAGCCATAAGCACCATCGATAAATCACTGTGTAGACTTCAAGGTTTATAAGAACAATTTCGACAAAAAATTTTGTAGTAAAAAAAATGTAGAAGAAATTATTTTCTGGTAAGAGCGCAGTATAAAATAAACAGCATAATTTTAGCCACTTTTATGTCTTAACGCACAGTTTCTGCTCTGGGATTATCATCCATAATGAATTATAGACGGAGAAACTAACGACTACTGAAACTATAGCGTCAGTTCGCTCGAATAATAGCGTCGTTAACTTGTATGTACTTACTGGAAATAACCACTTGCGCGGTTATATCGGTCTCCCCAGCCATATTCTCAGCGACACAGGTATAATTGCCGTCGTCCTCGCCCATTCGAGCCTTTGCGACGATAAGCGTATTATCCTGGACGCGCACAGGGCCGGAGTCGCTGATAATGTGTCCCTTGGGATCCCTCCAGTAGACTTTCGGTGGTGGAAGACCCGAGGGTTCCAAACAGCTGACTTGCAGCTCCTGATCTTCGCCAACCACTGCCACTTGGTTCGGTAATAGGGGCTCGAATGATGCCGCAGAGAGATTCATTAAATCTACAGTAAATAATTAATATTTGAAGCCTTCTTCAAGTGTATATAGATACAACTTATATTTCTGTTATATCAGTCGACGCGAAATTACAAGAACACTAAAACTTTTAACATAGAAATTTCTCATAAACAGTGTAAAGTCGTTAAGAAAAACATGACTTACAGGCAATTTGAAGATCAACCGTATAGCTGATTGTGCTCTCTCCCCGATCCCCGTGGCAGGAATAGTATCCTTGGTCCCTCTGTTCGGCGGAGCGTATGACCAGAGTGCTGTTCTCGAGCACAGTCCTCTCCTCGTCCGTCTCCAGCGGTCCTATATCCTTAAAGAACCATTGAACGGAATCGGCGTCCTCGAATACGCAGTGGAAAACGGCCGCCTCACCGCGCTTCACGATCAAATTCCTGGGTACGACCTTTATCGCGGCGGTATCGTTACCCGAGACAATCAACGGGTAGCTTTCCATTTTCGGGGACGAACCAGCCACGTTCTTCGCCAAACAACTATACATTCCACTGTCCTCGGCAACGGCACGGTGAATGTGCAACTTCTTCTTCTTTATGTCGATCCGTTCGCTCTTCACTATCGACTCCCGATTTCTATAAACAATTTATCCACGTTCTAGATCATATTTTTAAAAAATATGATTCATCAGGGATTGAAAACAGTCATGATGTCGGTTCCCAGTCCCATTCTTGAAACAGTTATCAAGAATCGAAAACGCGCCATAACTATTAATTAAATATATCGGTCTTGGTTTATATCGGTTTTGGTTTCGGTACTTTGGAACCAATATTGTATTGTTCTATAATTGTTATTTTTCAGTTTTGTATTTCTAGTATTATACTTCTCGATATCTAGTATGTAATCAGTTTTCTAAGACTGTTTGAACTGAAATTCTTAATTGTCATGTAGGAAAAATCCATATAAGTTAGAACCGATATATTTAATAACAGTTATGACATTTTCTAGTTCTCCGTCTTCGGTCAGAAGCAATTCAACATTTAATTATTATCAATTTCTGTTATTCATCATTTTATTCATGATTGACTATAATAATGGTAAAATTGTAAAGCAATAGCATGTAATTGTAATATGTACAAGTTTGAGTCTGGCAGCATAAGAGAGACGATTAAAAGAAATTAAAATCAATTCATTGTGTTCTTTATTGTACTTCTTAATATACCTGCTTCCTTTAAAACTACCACGTTCTAACTTGCTGAATTAAAAAAAAAAAACAAATCCGTTATTTTCTGCGGAGTGTCTCATCTAGAGCGATGGATTTTCCATCGATAAGCGCGTCGCGACGCAGACGAGGGGTTATAAACTCGCGAGGGCGAGGTGAAAAGCTCAGACCGGGGAGGAAGGGGTGTAGGAAAATGTCGCTTGATAATTCAGGGGGTAGTTGCGTAAACGACGGGTGTCAGTTACGCGACGTGTAGCATGAAGTTTAGTTTCAAGCGAGAAGGGCTGCGATCGGAGTTACTAATTAACTCCGGAATTATTGAAACCCAAGAAGTTATAGCTTCGAATGTATATTTAATCTATCTGTATGTACTTTAATCCGGTTAATTCACTGATACTTGTATATATGTATATACGTATGATGAGCTCCATAAACTTCTCTAATTATGAATCGCATGATATAACTTTATTGCGGATTCTACCTAATTATACAAAAACTAAATGTCCAGAAATCATGTAAATTGTGTGTAATCTATGAAAATGAACAAAATAACGAAGATGAATATACATGCAATACCTCGATTTGCATGCGTTTTTAACTGATGCTATTGAAGTATTTATTTAGTCTTGATATAATAATAAATAGCCGTAATAAATAATTGAAACGAACTTGAACCACTCGTATTTCATGTCCCCGGAACCATCGACATGACATCGAAGCTCGACCTCGCCGCCCACGCGGATCGCGGATGGTAGCTTCGGCTGCTGGAGTTGCACGCTCGCCTCGCTGATCCCTGAAACAGAAATTCCCGCAAATCGATCAGCCCACCGGTTCTTGCGAATAATTTAACGGCCGCCGCGCCGTCTCGCGTTCCCCTTTGCATAAGCGTGCAAATTTTATTCGATATTGGTAAATAACTTCTCGAAACGGTGGATACCGGTTCAAGTTCGTATCAGCGTTAATACGTCGAAATAGGATACGTCAAAAAAGGACAACACATTCCTTCTCTGCTTTATCGCTTAAATCCTACCAAAAATTTGATATTGTTAAAACTTCCCAGCTGTTATGTATCGTCCACGTTTCTATCAAAATAATTATATGTATCGAAGTATTTACTATATTTAGATTATCGTAGAATTTCTCCTGTTACACATCTACATTTGTAATAGCGATAATGAATAGTAAACTTAATCTGATACCAAGAAGCATAATATTAATTCACTTGTAGGAGGACTGCAACTGGTTTTCGGATCGACAATCATTTTCAAGAGCAAGGTCGTCTACGTTGGTACAAAAAGCGTGCGGCGCTGAAAAAGAGAAAAAGGGCGAATCGAGTAAGTGAGCCCTTTCCTTCTCAAGGAGAAGGGAAAAAACATCGCAGCGAGGAAAGCAGCTAGGCTAGCCTCTCCCTCTTATCGACGGTGGGCTCATGAATTCTTAAAACGTGAGCGAAGTTATTTGCCGACGTCTTTCAACGAAGTCTGGGTAAATTAAGAAAAAAAAAGGAGCGCCCTGAAGCGTTTGTTCCGCGCAAAGCGGAGGACACCGCCGAAAGTCGATGGAGGGAGCCCCTCTTCTCGTTTCTTCTACGCTTCCTTTTTCCTTCGGAAACGAGTAGTCCTCCCGAGCTGACGTCGTCGTCTGGACTCTGGACGAGTCCTGTCGCGGATACAAGACAGGTACGGACAAAAAGAATAGCGAGAGCAAAGGAGAAAAACAATCGGGAACAAACGAACGGACGAGAACAGAAACAGGAGTGGAAGAGGGACAGATGGCTTCGAACGGAATGTTTTATTTGATTCGATTAAATCGACGGGTTTCGAGTGGCCGGTTCCACGGTAGGTTACACGATCGCGTCGCTTCGGTGCAAAAAGGAACGAGAACGGAATCGACCTGACATTCCCAGGGAGAACGCGAGCGTCCACCCTCTCCTCGTTCCTTCTTCATCCTTCCCTTATATCGTCCTCTTCGCCTTCGTCTTCTCATCTCACGGTCGGAATTGCTTTCTCTTCCATTGTCCCATGCTGCTCTTTCCCCGTTTTGGAATTCCGCCCGGTCCAGTAATCGCGCTTTCCTCGTCGATAAAGGATCCCACGGGCAATGACTACAGACTATACGTCGAATCGAACCAGCTTATTTTCGTATTCTCGGCCACGCTCTTGTTGAAACGCGCAATTTATGTAACGCGCGTGATCGTATGAACTATATTCAGAAGTATTCTCGATGAACGCGGCTAGAGTAAACTAAAGTTGATGTATGTACATAATCGTCACTCCATTTGTATTGTAGACAGGAAAACCAATTTACATACATTACATAATTACAACAGTAATTATTATATATCTTTTTTATGGCATCTGAATCCATTGGTATACAAAGATTTAGATTTTTTCGATCTGCTAAGCAGTCACTTAAATACGTATAGTAAACCAAAGGGTAAATGTTTGCCGTGAGTACGTATAGTATATTTAAGGAAGGGAAGCAATGACGAGTTGAACCCTATAAGTACACGTGAAAGGAAATTCGAGATATCTGGGCTAACTTGCGGGCAGTTTACCGGAGACTGTCAACATGATAAGGCTTCCTTCGTTAATTTAACTCGCTACCCTCCTTCGATCGATTGCTCTTCGCGGGTTTTGCGGCCGGGAAGTCCAATTCCTAGTTTCCGGTTTCAATACCCGGACATCGATTGACTCTTAACCTTCTGATCTCTTTAAAAAGTCGGATAGACGTCGATTGGTACGATGTTTAAAATATTTAAAACATCACGATAATTTGACATATTTAAAATGATGCTTTAAGTAAATAACTAAATTAAATAGTATACATCACACGTTCTATTATTCAATTTTTGTATTATCGCATGCAAAATCCTGCTTCGTATGAGAAGTAAAGCATAGGCGGGGAAGTCATTAACAAATCGACTTCTTAACGTTTTCGCAATCTCTTTGATTCACCACATCATGGGATTCCGAAGAGGGTATCGAATTCTTGATTCACGAAGCCTACTGAAGAAAAGTGGTAGGAACAGGAATTTGCCCCGCGTGGATGCCTGGTTAGCCGTGAAACGTACACGACTGTTCACTCGCGATCCCTGAGGTGGCAGGCGGTATTATTAACAGCCGACTGAGTCCGCGCAGTCTGTCCAATCCTTTTACTTTTACCCAGGATGATGCCTACCACAGTACACTGTTCGCTTGCTCGCTCGTCGTCGACGACAGGTTTTTTTTTTTATCGCGTCGAAGCCGTGTGACGAGACGCGTCGAGAGGCCCGGAGAGCTTTTCTACAGTTTCACGTCGGAAAACGCGCGACGACACGCGTTTCGAGACCCCCGGAGCTGATTACTTTGCGAATTAATCCTTTTCCCGTGAACGCGCTCCGTTTTCCAATCTCTTTACTTAGACGAATTTACATCATTCATGCTGAGACGTGTTAAATGGAAAAAATATAAATCGCATGAGTTGTTTGAGCACATACTCAGCCTAAGGTGTGAGGTGATTAATTTATCTGACAGAATCCGCATGATTTAATATGATACACGTTAATATCAAAGGAAGTAGGCAAGGTTTTGATATCGGAGAGGAATCTGATTTCCCCTTGATGCGCAACTTGTTTCCTCATCTTTTTTCGCAACGAAGCTTTGGGTTCCGCGAGCGGTTTAAAGGGCCACGTTAAAATGCCCGCGCGCTCTTCTTTGGCATTGAGTCCATTAAGGAGCATTAATCTCGAGGACTTATCCTCGAGGAGGAAAGCGGATATTCGAGGGCTGTCGGCCGTCGTCGGCCGCACAATGACGACAATAAAGAGGGACAAAGCTCGAAAGGAAAAATCGTGAAGGGATGACCGCGAAGACAGAGGAAAAGTAAACGAGTGAGAGAGAGGGAGTTGAGAAAATGGCTGATGGAAGAAGAAGACGCGAAGAGGGGCGCACAAGGAGGGCTCGTTTGTAATCGCGAAACTCATTTTTGCGTCTCTGAGGTCTCGACGAGATTTTGCTCGGCCACTCGACTCGTTTCTCGCTCCTCCTCTCTCGTTTGAACAGTATATTCCTCTTTCTCTCTCCCTATCACACGAAGTTTTCCCCCGCGTCCTCTCCTCGAGGCTCTCTCTCCGCTACTCGGAAAGCCGTGTTTAAATGCACAAACGAAGCGAGAGATCAAAGGGACCGCCGGCAGCGTGCGCGCGTTAAGTGAGAGTAAGAGAAGAAAAGACGAAGAAAAGGAAAGCGGGATCGGGGCGCACCGGTGGCGCGGCATAGCAAAACAGAGGAAGAGGGATGATAGAGGGTGATAGCGGAAAGAAAGGAAGAGAAGAACGTTTATTATTATCATCGTGTACGCCGCGGCGGCAGCGTCCAACCAACTGCCCCCGTCTTCCTCGCCTCTCTCCTCTGCTCAGCATCCGCGCTAACCACGCAAGTCGAGATTAACTTTCGTGTAAACACCGTGGAAGACGCGTGTGCGTAGCTGACTATCGTGTCAGCCATAGCCCGAGAGAGTACCCGACCTTCCGGCCTCGTTGGCAACCTTGGCTCGAACCTCGACCCTGAAATCTCCACCTCTTCCGTCCAATCGCACGTCTCTTCGCGATAAATCGCAAAAGAAACATAATGAAAGGCTTTACACTAAGCAAATTTCTAATTACTCGAAAAATAATAATTAATATACCTGAATCCATTTCAATCAAGAGTCAAGTAAAATGATACGAATGAATGGTGGCATAATTAAAGCTTGAAATTAGTTCCAAATGTGAAATTTTCTATAACTTTTCTCGTAACAATAATGAGTGAATTACGAGTTACACGGAACATTTTGTAGAATTCACATTCGTGCTTCAGTCTACGAACATCGTACGACGAAAGTAATTAAAAATTAAAGTGAGAACATAATCCGGGGTCGGGATAGGAAAAAGCATGGGACGCTCACTTGCTAACAAGCCGACTGTCTGGCACTGGTCGCGATGTAACGCGATATTCCTTTTTCCGTAGGGGGAGATCGGGAACGGATCGAGAACGCGTCGACAGATGCGTGTAATCTTCCGGGGGAATACGCGTTATGACACGGGACCACCCAGACGGGGTGCAGTAGCACAGCTCGACTTGTGGTCAGACGAGGACGAATTAGTGAAAAAGCGGCACGTTAATCAATAATTCTTCCTCACAATGCTTTCCTCCTATACTTTTAAATCGACTATTTTACACGTATAATTTAATCTGTATCTCATGCCACACTCTTTTTCAAATGAATGCATCAGACCTAAAATCTTTACGTTCTATATTTCATTCGCTCATTAATTTTCGCTAAAGTTTTGCTTATATAAAGCATAAGACGGGCTCATTACTTTAGATGAATTATTGTTATTTTATTTCAATGAGCCGTAAGACACGACTTACTGATTTATGTTAGAGAGAGAACTACGTTTAATCAATTGTATACTGAACAACGTGAAAAGTAACTTGGTTAAGTAAATAGTGCCAGGGAAAAAGCGCACGTTTGTGAATAATGAAGCTGTGTAAACTGTTTACCGCATAAGTTATCGGAGTCGATTAAAGATCCGATTAGCACAGAGGGGCAATTTTCGCGCTTTGATTTCGCTTCGGTAAAGAACGGTAAGGTTGATCGACGTTCCGCTCTTTAATGGAGCGTTCGACAGGGAATCGGACGAAACCCGTTTGCACGCTCGATTTCCGTCTTGTAAAGCGTGAGCTAAGCAAGCCGGCGCAGAAAGGGTAGGCAGGCAGGCAGGCTCGCGTCAAAGCGGACGAGGAAAGTCGAGAGAGCAGAGAGAAGTCG